CGACGCGGCCCGAAATAGTCAAAACGGATATAGAGGGGATACATTCAGCGCGGCGCTGGGCGCACACATACGTGACTTCTCTTTTGTATGAGTGTTATAGACTTTTAGCGTTTTCGATTTGCGACTCAAACCGACTCGGGTTGCATCATGTATACAGGACTCTAGCATCATTGACGTGGAAAACATACATATCTATGTATGTATTCCACGTCCATTGATGCGACCCGAGTCGGGTCGAGTAGTAAATCGAAAACGCCATTTACGTTTACGCGAGCGTTACTTCTGTAGTAACTTACGATATATCACTCGTTTACGCGGAGTAAATTATTGCAAGTTACTACACAATCCCGTTTATGCGAAGGAATTATCGTAAGTTACTACAAAAGTAACGCTCACGTAAATGTAGTATTAGAGACCGCGGAAGATAGAGACCGCGATGATTGGCATTTGCAAAGATAGGGTCAAAGCACATAACATGGCATAGCAATATACGACGGTCGTAGTCCCCGACCTGGCAGATCAGGATACGCCAAAGCTTGTGCGTTACTTACGTCCACGACTACGACTGTCATATGTGCTTTGGCCCATAAAAGGCTTGCGCTATTTTTATTAATATTTAGGGCAGTATTCATAGTTGGATCTTATTTCAAGCTTCTTAAGTAATATCTTAAGTTACTAATACGGTAATTTGATTGGCTGAACGAAGCCAATCTTAAGATTGCTTTTGATCAGACTTAAGACGATCTTAGATATAAGATCCGGCTATGAATATCGCCCTAAATATTAATAAGAATAGCGCAAACCTTTTATTTTTGCGAATGCCGATCACCGCTGTATCTTTTTAAGTCTATTGGTCGCGTTCAATAGCAGTCGAACGTAATTGGCTCTTACTTTTAGAACTAACCAATCAACGCAGAGTCAACAGTTGTGTCTGCTGAACGTACCCATTGAAACGGAGATAAAGAAAATACTCAAGAAAGGAGCAACGTTTGTATACGCCCAGCGCCGCGCTGAATGGCTCTTCTTTTGTGTGAGTATCCCCTCTATCTCCGTTTCGACTGTTTCGGGCCGCGTCGCCCGCGTCGTCCGCGTGACTCGCGTTTTAACTGTGGCATCACTCCGAAAAAAAACTTTTAAATTTGTGACGTTTTGTGATCACGTTTGTAAGTGCGTCATGTTTCCACGGCCCGATTTACGGCAAAATTATAACATCGATGTTATAACTACCAGAGAGAAACCTGAGAGAGGCCATCCCGGCGTTTTCCGTCAATTTTTGTGTGCCCGATTTTCCGACGCGCCGCCTGAGAAAGTGCGCCTCAACTACGTCGTTTCGCTCGGTAACCGCACATGGTTTGCGTCCGTGCTAATGGTTCGTGTCCGAACTAGCCAGTTAGTGGGGATATGCTGCGGCCGCGACGTCTATTAAGCTGACACAGCCAATTCAGCACAATCGAATAAAATTTATACAGAAATTTAGTGCTCTTTTGTTGCTAATTTGTTGCTCAATTCCCAATTTTGTTGCTCC